ACAACTTCCCACAGTATCACCATGGACCCTTGGTTCCACGGGCACAACAGTGCCACAATGATCCCCTTGGTTCCAAAATTTCCCACAGTGTCACACCGGCCCCTTGGTTCCATGGGCCCAACAGTGCCACAATGATCCCCTTGGTTCCACAACTTCCCACAGTGTCACACTGGCCCCTTGGTTCCATGAGGATCTGCAGGGTCACACAGGTTTGTGACATTTGTCCTTGCTGCCCCTCACATCCCCCTGCCCCACAAACAGCCCTGAGCCACCCGTGAGGGACAGGCCCTGCTGTGCCAGGCTGGGCTCAGGGCTTGGTCTTTCTGCTTCCCCCAGCCAGCCCAGGCCTTGCTCAGCATTGCAGTTCCCTGCTCTGAGCCTTGGGCTCCCTGCAATCCTGACCTCAAGGATCTGCTCTCACCAGTCCCTGGGGAGCCTTTGGTAGTCCCTGCCCTCAGTGGGGCCCAGTGATGCTCTAAGGGACTTGGAGTTTTGCTTCTGACTCCTTGGGCAGCTTCTTCAGCCTTCTCTCAGTCCCTGAGGGTCCTGGACGGGGGCTCAAATCTACCATGGCAATCATCAAAATACAGAAAGCCCTTGGAGGCTCTTTCTCTTCCTTCATTTGTCTTCAGCTCTCCAGGTGCAGCTGATTGGAGTCAGTCTGGAGTTCTGTTAAGGAGGAAGATTTCCAAGTGGACCTCATGACCTTTTTTTCTTCAATCAAGTGAGTATTTTTTTATTTCCCAGTTCAAAGAAGAGCTGATGGAAGCATTGCCCAGGTGATCTTGACAATGAAGTTCTCCTGAGGAGGTCTGGGCATGTAGAAGAATGGCCCCCCTGAGGGCTGACCCTGTTTGGACAAGCTGCTCCTCACCCCCAGCCTCACCATGTCTGACATTGCCCACCTGGCACTGACATCCCTGTGCCCTGCAGCAGAACCTTGTCCCTGAGCTCTGCAGCTCCATGTCCCAGCCCATTGCACCGTGTCCCACCTGCTCTCCTCAGGGCTCTGCCTGCACACAGGGCCAGGAGAAGTTTTTCTCTTGGGAAAGAAAGACTGGAAAAGCTTGAGCAGGTTTCCTAAACAACAAACCCAACTCAGGAACCACCTGCTCAGTACAGGCTGCCTGGAATGGTGTCACCTTTCTATGAGAGACAGTGTGACCAGAAATGATCTCTGGAAGCAGAATTCTCTGAGTCTCCTAGCTGAATTCTCTGTCCTGGCCCTTTCCCTGGATCTCTGTTGCAGATGGAAGCTGCTGGTGCCATCCTCACCTTTAACCTCTCTTTGGAGTGCAAACAGATGTTCCCCGGTGTGTTAAGCAGGATTTTCTCAATGTTTTTATAAATCTTTTGTGTTCCCCATGGAACTAAGGGGCCATTTTGGCACTGAGGGGGTGACGTGGAAGCAAGGAGTGAATTGTGACCCTGGGGTCCCATGGAACCAAGGGGCCATGGTGACACAGCAGGGCCACGTGGATCCAATGGTCCATTGTGACAATGTGGATCCAAGGAGACCATGGAGACACCCCCAGAACCTCATGGAACCAAGGAGTCCATGGTGACCCAGCAGGGCTGCATGGATCCAATGGTCCATGGTGACACTGCCCATCCAAGGAGGCTGTTTGGAGACCGTGGAAGCTCATGGAGTGAGGTGGCCATTGTGACACTGAAGAACTTCATGACACCAAATATCCATTGGGGCATAGCAGGGCATCATGGGAACACAGAAACTGCTCTTGACAGTGTGGAAACTCCCGGAACCAGGGGATGTTGTGGGACTGCAGAACCAGCACAGCTGCTGCACCTTGTCCCCTGCCCTGCACAGCTCCTTGCAAGTACAGCAGGAGCAGCACACTCGGAGCCTCAGGAATGCCCCTCTGGGATCCATGGCACACGCTCCCAGGGGCTGGAATTCCAGTTCCCAGCCAGGAGATGATGTTCCTGCCCTTGAAGGCAAAGCTCTTATGGAAGAGCCGAAAACCAAGTGAAGCAAGATCTTAGAGTGACATTTCACTGCCAATCTTCCTAAGTTCACCCATGGCTGTTGCATCTTATGGATTGGGAATGAAATCAGGGCAGGGTCTTTGGTGGGAGCTGCCCTGGGTCAAGGGAGGCACTGAGAGAGAAACAGAGCAGGCAAAGATAGGTGGAAGAGAAAGGAGGTGTTTTGGTTTGGAATGACAGGTGTCTGCTAAGGAGGGCAGGACCCTCCCCTGAAATGGAAAAATGTAGACTCTTTCTTTCTGAATTGTTATTAATTTGAAATTAAGGGGGGCTCTCAGATAAAAATATGGGAGCGGGAATAACTGTTTTTTATTAGGGAAGAAAATTGAACTATAAAATAAGCAATGCAGTAAACTGAAATAACACTGACAGTGTCAGAATATAACCTGATACCCTTTTGGACAGGGTATTGGCCACAATCCAATTGGAATTGTGGCTGCAGTCCTCCTGGAGTGTCAGGTGTGGTTCTGTTGGAGAAGTGATCCTATAGGAATGGGAGTCTTCCTCTGAAGAGGAAGAGACAGCTGTTCCTTTGAGAAATCCAGCCCAGAAAAATCTGTGTTGGTGGGCCAGAATCTCAAGACTAGATGCTGGTAGGAATGCTTGGCTCCTCCCTCTGGGCGGAACATCTCACAATGGGATGTTACAGTTCTTATCTGTCATGCAGTGACATTCAATAGCCCATTATCAGCAGATGTCTCCCCTGAGGGAGGATGGATTGTGGAAGAGATAAGGAAAAACTGCCCACTTAATACAGGACAACTGCCATACAGATGGCAAATAGAACACATCTTGCTTTTCAGTCTGGGACAGGAGGGCACAAACAAAATCAGCTGAGAAGGCAGCACTCTGAAAAGCAACCCAGAACTGACAGAAAATAAATGGGACAGAAATCAATAATTCTGGAAGTTTTATTTATTAACAAAATAAATCACAACCACCCAGCCCCACACAATCCTGATTCCACAACCTCAAATTTGGATCTCACTTCTCCCGGTCACCTTCCAACCCCATCTCACCGTGGAGGCTGTGGAATTGGGTAATTTTGGCATGGGGCTGAGGTGGGAACCAGCCATTTTGAGGTGGAATTGAGCAATTTTGCGGGTAAGATTGAGGGGTTTCCAATTGGATTGAGTACTTTTGAGGTGACAGAGCAATCCACCTTGGCATTTGGGGTGCAAAGATACAAAGAATACTACCAGATATCTCCCAAGAACCCACAAATACTTCAGAATATGTTCCCAAACTGTAACTTCCACCTCAAATACCTCTAAAATGGTGTGACTTTTGACATCTCTGGTCAATACTCTTTTTAGTCATTTTTCAGGTGTTTTTAAGTGATAAAGACAAATTAGAAGAAAATTAGGGCCAAACCAAAACCAGAGACCCCTTGAGCATCCCCTGGACACTGGACAAAACAAACTCAGCAGAAATCAAATTTAACCCTCCATAAAATGCCTTGAGGAAGATTTGCTCTTCCCACAAGTCACTTCTGATGGAAACGCAAACAAATCCCAATCATTAATAAACCAACAACAGAAGCAATTCTGTGGTAATTCTAAATTTCATCAGTTCCAGCACAGCTCTAGCTCAGATGCTGGCAGGTTCCAAAAAAAGAAACATGGAAATTTGTCCAAATACAGATTATTAAAAGGAAGGGAAAGGTCTGTGTAGCTGTCACACAGGTGACAGGGATGAAGAAAATAATGAATCTCCCCCCAAGCCTGTGAATCCAGGAGTTATTTGTAAAATAACTTGAGCTGGGCTTCTTGTAGGACTTTAGTAGCCTTGTGTTTCTCACCTTGGGGTGAATGATCCTTGTCAGTCTCGCTGGTATCATTTGTTGCCTTTCTTCCAGTGATTTTAACAGACTTTTCAGGGAAGGACAACAAAATATTTTCTTTACACTGGCCACCCACAACTTCCACTTTTCTCATAAGGTCTCTCAAAAGTCGCTCAGAGGAAGCTGCATCCAAGTTTCCAAGAGTTCCTCCAGAAAGAGGCAGAACCTCCGCAGAGGAGGGAACCAGGCTGTTGTCAAAGGAACTCGGGGTCAGACAATAGAGCCTTGAAATCACTGTGCAAAATAATATTGCAGTTTGTTTAATAAAATTGTTAGAGAGATGCCCCTGCCCCAATTAAGGTGCTAACAAGACCAAATCCAAAGTGGATTTTATTGAACAGTAAATGTGAGGTAGAGAGAGACATGGAAAGAAAGAGAAAAAGGGAGAGAGCAAGGGAGTGACATGGACAGAGATCTCCCCTGGGGCGGGGCAAGTGTGACATTGTCCCCTGTGTGCGTGGCCTTCCCAGGGTGGGGGTTTTACACCGGAGCCAGTTTGGGTAAGGGGGGTGGTGTTCACCCCCCACCCCAAGCAGGGATTGCCTCACTGTTTCAGGTTACAGTGTCAGATGTAACCAAAAGTGTTTTCAGTCCCCATCTCCATAAACTGTTATCAACAGGTGGGGCAGTGTTCTTTATCTCTTCCATGGCTCAGCCCTGATAACGCTCTCCAGGGGCCATCTTCTGTTAATGGGCCATTGAGTGTCACTGCAGGAATGATAAAATTACATCATCCCATTGTGGGATGCTCCGCCCAGGGGGAGGAACCAAGCATTCCTACCTGGATATAATCTCACCCTTTCAACACCACAACCACGTTGCCTACTGGATTCCCAGAGGACAAGAGCTCCATAACCACCACTTGACCTTCAGTGCAAGACCAGACCCTTCTACAGGATCACCACTTTGACAGAATCACGTTCATCACTCCAGCCAGACTGCAGCCACCATTTCATCAGACTGCTACCACCACCCTGAACAACAAGGTGTCAGGTTATATCCTGATTCTGTCAGATTAAGCCAGTGTTTCTGTATCATTGCCTTGATCTTAATTTTCTAATTACATTGTCATTCTGGCTTCGACGCTCTCCGAGGTTTGCTTTGAAAGGAGGACAAAACTCAATGTGCTCATCCCTTGTTTTCCTTTCAGAACAGGATTTCCCATCTCCAAATATTTTCCAGATGGAGGAGAAGGTTGCGAGGAAGAGGAAGATGCCCTGGGACACTGAGGCAGGTGAGGAGGAAGTCAGTGCCCCTTTCCCCCTCTCTCCTGCTTCATCTCCCAGCCCAGCCTGGCGCCCAGCTGCAGGACAGCCCCGCTGCCGGTCCCCTCCTGCTGGGGACGCACTGGGGGGATCTCCTTGCCCTTCCCTGTGGCAATGTGGCAAATCCCATCCTCTCCTTGTCCTTCTTACCCCAGACAAGAAGCTGAGGATGGACACCAGAGAGGTCAAATCCCCACGGCAGAACCGTGTGGAAGAGGCCATTTTGAGTGACTCCAGGGCACAGGAATCCAACGGGGAGGAAAAGCCCCAGAGATCCCACAGGAGGAAGGGCTGCAAACCCAGTCCAGGGTGCTCTGAGGAGGAAAGACCCACTCTGGGCCAGGAAGGTGGGCAGAGCTTCAGCCAGAGCTCGGAGCTGGTGGTCTCTGAGAAGCTTCCTGATGGGGAGAAGCCCTACAAGTGCTTGGAGTGTGGGAAGAGCTTCAGGCAGAGCTACAACCTGATCTGCCACCAGATGATCCACACCAGGGAATGGCCCTACAAGTGTGGGGAGTGTGGGAAGGGCTTCAGCTGCAGCTCAGAACTCATAAGGCGCCAACGCATCCACACTGGGGAGAGGCCCTATGAGTGTACCGAGTGTCAGAAGAGGTTTCACACCAACTCCAATCTCCTCAAACACCAACGGATTCACACAGATGAGAGGCCCTACCACTGCCCCAACTGCAGGAAGGGCTTCAAGCACAACTGCAGCCTTGACAGGCACCGGCGCATCCACACCGGGGAGAGGCCCTACGAGTGTCCCCAGTGTGGGAAGAGCTTCAGCCAGAAGTTCTCATTGATTCGCCACCAGATCATCCACATTGGGGAACAGCCATACAAGTGTGAGCAATGTGGGAAGGGCTTCAGGCAGAGGTCCAACCTGACCATCCACCAGAGGATCCACACTGGGGAGAGGCTCTATGAGTGTTCCGAGTGTCAGAAGAAGTTTAAGACCAGCTCTAATGTGGGATGAATATTCTTCTGCACGGTGGGGGTGTAGGGAGGCAGAGATCTCTGAAGCTTGCTTTTGGGGAGAGAAATTTATTTGAGGATTCCGGAATGCCCGAGCCTCGTGCTCTCAGGCGTAGCACGTGGCCGGGCTTAGGAGGATGGGGTAGGGGAGAGAGAAACGGAGGGTTTAGGAGAGGGGAAGCCCCAGGGGGGAAGGAAGTCCAAGAGAGGAGGAGAGGGCCAAGAGAGGGAGGAAGTCCAAGAGGCCGCATGGCCCCTCTGAGCCCCCTTATCAGGGGCTCCTAGGTGGGCTGGGATAAGGCATGGGCCAATGGGGTTACAGACTCCGATGCTTCAGGGGCAGGTACAGAGATGTGGGATGAGCCACAATCTTTTGGGGGGTAGGATGGAACAGTCCATTTCACTCCAGGATTCATCCAAGGGCAGAAGTGACATCCGGCTAGCTAAGATAACAATCATATCTATCTATCCTCTTCAACAATTGCCCCTTTTCGTTAAACTTTTTAAACGGTAAATACAGACTTAATTACTATTTTTGCACAACCTGGGGTATAGAACATATTGGTACTGAAACTATACTTGTTACTCTCGAAACAATCAAGTTTACTTTACAGAGTTCCTTCAGCCAAGATGCAGAGCTCAAACTTTAAGATAAACTGTTTAGCTAGATTATTAATTGTAATCGAGGTGGCGTTTATTTCTTTACTGATTGAGCATTTTAACCTTTTGACTGCTTTAGTCTAATGGAAGAATTTTAACTGAGGTATTTTTATCGGAATCTTCTGGGGAAGGTTCTATAATTAACTAGGTTTAAAAGGTCTATTATAGCTTTGTATCAGTTAGAGATAGGGTATCAGAGCTTGCAGTCTTGTCTAGAGCAACCCAGGCATTTGTCTTTGGTTAACCTATAGGTGGAACTTCAATACAAAAATTGGGACAAGAGAACAACTGTAACAACAAGGGTACAGAAGTAACATGCATATGAAAACAAATGTCCATAATCTTGAGTTGTTTCTGGCAGGTAGTTTTCATCTCGTCTTAGCACAGTTCAAATCTGAGCGCTTGCTTCTTGGTTTGCACCTGCAGAGTCACCATTATCTGTGAGGGTACTGCTAGATTCTGGTGTGTAGTAAGGCCCCACATTCCCTGCTGGGACCCACCTGGATCTTTCACCTGTGAAAACACAAGCAAGCTCTCTCTCCCATGTTACAAGGTTACATGGGCTTTCTATTTGTCCTGTGACTGAGGTTTTTATTAAGACTTTTATTTTTGCTTTTTTGTTGTTCAGAAAGTGTCTGTAAATGGGGATGTCAGGCTGTCCTATACAGCAATTTGAAAAATTGTATGCGTATGGGGCTTTGCTGAACCTGTTTTGGGGTGTGGCCTGATACATTCCCCTCTTCTGTTTTAATAGGCTGCATTCTAGGGCTTCAGATGTCTTTTCTATGGTACTTCCCAACAGCTGGTAACCATAGGAAAAAGGGGAAACTACTATCTTTTGCTGCTTTTAGGAATTTTCTCTCGTCCTGAGATGGGACAGCTGTCCATTCTCTGGGACTATCCAGGTTGAACCTGTGCCTGTCTATCAGTTGGAGGTTATCAATGCTTTTCTGGAAATTTTGGGAAACTGGGGTAGCAGGGGTGGTATTGGTAGGGGTAGTATAGTACTCTGTGGATCCTGTATTCGTCAAAGCAGCTGCCAGGTGCTGTTCCTCTCTCCCTTGCTGCATGCTAAGCTGTGAATCAGATGCAGCAGCTGCTGATAGCTGGGGTGGAGGGGCAGGAGGAGAGGTGTCTGTAAGCGAAGCCCGCAGGGAGGAACTAGTGCGTGTGGAAGGATGTATCGAGGATGAGGCTGCAGCTGTGGAATGTGGATACAGCATAGGAGAGGAAGCAGAGGCGTCCAGGGGCTGCAGGGGTGGTGGCGGTGTGAAGGAGTTCTGGGCGGGTATCCGGCACGGAGGGATTTAGCGGCGAACCCGGAAGTGATTCGGCAGTCCCCGGCAGCGGTGGTGGAACTCCACCTGCGAGGTCTGGGGGGTCCTGCTGCTGCCGCCGCTGGTCTCGGGGGTTCTGGTTGGGTGCTGACCGCGGCACGGGGTGCGTGGGGAGTGGCAGGCTCCATCGGCGGCGTGGCAGAGGCGGCAGGAACTGGCCGGAATGGAGGCACTGTGAGCTGCGCATGCGCGGGGCGCACCACGTGTTCCGCCGGCCGAGCCAAGATGGCGGCCGCGTCTGCCGCCCCGCCGGAGCTGTCTGATGTTGGGCCCGCGCCGCGGGGGGGTTGCCGGGGGGCGGGGGGTGGCGGGGTCGCGGCGCGGGGCCCTGGGGTGTCCCCCCGCGGGCGCAGCTCAGGCTGGGGTGGGCGCACCGGGCTTCCCGGTGGATTCTGCCGCGTGGCCGTGTTTGGGGGCATGGCTATGCGCTCTCCCGGCACGGGTTGCGGTGGCGAGGCGGCCACGGCAAGCGCCGGTTCGAGTGTTTGTAGAAACGCGGCAAAGCCGCTTTGTAAGAAGCCAGCGAAAGTAGCAACTGCCGCTACTAGGGAGTTTTCGGGGGGAGCCGGGGCGGGCACGAGCCCCACGGCCAGTGGGGGGGGCGGGGCGGCCGCGGGGGCCGGGACAGGGAGTGCCCATGGAACCAAGGGTCCATTGTGACCCTGTGGCCCCAAGGAGACCCCTGTGACCCTGCAAGGCCTCATGGAAGCAAGGGACCATTGTGACACTGTGGAGCCCCATGGAAACAAGAGCCCAGTGTGACACATCTGGGCCTCATGGAACCAAGGGTCCAATATGACACCACCAGTGTGACACTGCAGGGCCCCATGGAAACAAGGGGCCGGTGTGACCCTGCAGGGCCCCATGGATCCAAGGAAACAGGTCACAGGTCTGGTTGGCTTGGCCTGACTGGTCCAACTGCCCTTGGCATGTCGAGGGTTTCTTCTCATGTACCCCTGAAACAGAGCTCTGGGGCTCTGGGCTTTCCTTCACATGGAAAAGAACTGTCCTTCTCATCCAAGCATCCATGGCCAAAATGGGATTCCCCCCTCAAAATTCCCAATATCTAGGGGGTGCTCCTAAACAAGAGCTGCCATTACCAAGTCTGTTTGACCTTGTCTTGCTGAGAGGTGGCTCTCACCTGCCTTCAGACACTGAGGCTCTGTGCTTTTCTTCCTGTGGAAAAGAACCGTCCCTCCTGCACAGGCAACCATGGCCAAAATTGATACTTTTCCTCCAAAATTCCCTGAATGTAAGCGTTTCTCCCAGAAAAAAGCTGCCAGTACAGAGTGCCCAGGCTTGCCTTGGCCTCTGGTGGTCTCCCTATTCTTCCCTGCAACACTGGGGCTCTCTCCTTTCCTTCCTATGAAAACAACCATCCTTCTTCATCCTTCATCCATCTCCTTCTTTTGGCCAGGTGTCCATGGCCGAAATTGGGATTCCACCTCCAGAAGTCCTATAGTCAAAGATTGCTCCTGCACAAAAGCTGCCTTACAGACAGGTCTGGCTGGCCTTGGCCTCTGGTGGTCACCTCTCATCTCAAGGAAGCCCTGGGGAGAGTTTTGGAACAGGTTTGGTTGCTGGAGCATCAATGAGTATCTCATCCTCTGAAAAACACAGATGCTCTTCAGATAAAATGTGTATTTTTTTTCTCGTGCATTATGTTTGAAATCTAATTTTCAGTTAAAAATTCTTATCGCTCTGCAAGTGTTATCTGACACAAACCACCTTGTCTACATATGGATCCAGGCCACATTTATAAGCAAACACAATAAAGAATCCAGCAGGAATTATTTGTCTCTGCTCCCATCTGTCACATCTCCTCTGGAGCTGGAGGTGCAGCCCCAGCACTTGGGAGGGCTCAGGGGTCACAAGCTCAGCTCCCACACAGAGAACCTTGGATGATCTTCCTGCCCCTGCCCGCTCAGCCAGGCTGAGATGGACACTGATGGTTTCTGTGCCAGGCTCTCCCAGCCCAGCCCAGCTCCCTGCCAGCTCTGCCAGCTGCCCTGAGCTCTGGGCAGCACCAAGGGCCTCTCCCCAGCACAGCCCAGCCGGCTCTGGCCCCACAGCTCTGCTCAGCCCAGGCTGCTCTGGGCACTGCCCCACGGCCTCAGCCCCTGCCA